GTCAACTCATCTTTGACAAAGCAGGAAAGAATATCTAACAGAAAAAAGTCTCTTCAGCAAATGGTGCTGGGAAAACTGGACAGCGACTTACAGAAGAATGAACCTGGGCCACTTTCTTACACCACACACAAAAATAAACTGGAAATGGATGAAAGACCTAAACATAAGACAGGAAGCCATCAAAATCCTAGAGGAGAAAACAAGCAACAACCTCTTTGACCTCGGCCGCAGCAACTTCTTACTCAACATGTCTCCGGAGGCAAGGGAAGCAAAAGCAAAAACGAACCACTGGGACTCATCAAGATAAAAAGCTTCTGCACGGTAAAGGAAACAACCAGCAAAACTAACAGGCAGCCGACGGAATGGGAGAAGATATTTGCAAATGACATAACACATAAAGGGTTAGTATCCAAAATCTATAAAGAACTTATCAAACTCAACACCCAAAAAGCAATGAAAAGTGGGCGGAAGACATGAATAGACACTTTTCCAAAGAAGACATCCAGATGACTAACAGACAGATGAAAAGATGTTCAGCATCACTCATCATCAGGGACATACAAATCCAAACCACAATGAGATGCCACCTCACGCCTGTCAGAATGGCTAACATGAACAACTCAGGCAACAACAGATGTTGGCGAGGATGCGGAGAAAGAGGAACGCTTTTGCACCGCTGGTGGGAATGCAGACTGGTGCAGCCACTCTGGAAAACAGTGTGGAGGTTCCTCAAAAAGTTAAAAACAGAACTACTCTATGACCCAGCAATTGCACTACTAGGTATTTATCCAAGGGATACAGGTGTGCTGTGTCTAAGGGGCACATGCGCCCCAATGTTTATAGCAGCGCTGTTGACAATAGCCAAAGTATGGAAAGAGCCCAAATGCCCATCAACTGATGAATGGATAAAGAAGATGTGGTGTATACAGCCATAAAAAAGAATCTTGGCCATTTGCAGCAATGCGGATGGAGCTAGAGGCAATTATTATGCTAAGCGAAATAAGTCAATCAGAGAAAGACAAATATCATATGATTTCACTCATATGTGGAATTTAAGATACAAAACAAATAAACGTAAGGGAAAAGAAACAAAAATAAGATGAAAACAGAGAGGGAAACAAACCATAAAAGACCCTTAAATACAGAGAACAAACTGAAGGTTGCTGGTGGAGTGTTGGGGGGGATGGGCTAAATGGGCCATGTGCATCATGGAGGGCACTTGTTGCGATGAGCAATGGGTGTTACATGAATCATGTAACATGATTTAGAATCACTAAATTCTATTCCTGAAATCATTATTACTCTATGTGTTAACTAATTTGGGTTTAAATTTAAAAAAGAAATCAATAAAATTAAAAATTAAAAAAAAAATCTTTCTACTTGAGACGCCTGGGTGGCTCAGGTGGTTAAGCATCGGACTCTTGATGCCCGCTCAGGTCAGGATTTCATAGTTCTTGAGATCCAGCCCCACGTCAGGCTCTGTGCTGACAGCACAGAGCTTGTTTGGGATTCTCTCTCTCCCTCTCTCTCTGCCCCTACCTCACTCGCACACGTGTGGCTTCTCTCTCTCAAAATAAATACATAAACATGTAAAAATCTTTCTACTTTACTGCATTTTCTACATTTTCCATTAGAATGCTTTAATTTTTTTACAATTAAAAAAATTTTTTAATGTTTAATTTTGAGAAATAGAGACACATAACATGAGCAGGGAAGGGGCAGAGAGAGAGGGAGACACAGATCTGAAGCAGGCTCCAGGCTCTGAGCTGTCAGCACAGAGCCCGAGGTGGGACTTGAACCCACTAGCCGTGAGATCATGACCTGAGCCAAATCAGAAGCTTAACTGACCGAGCCACCCAGGCGTCCCTACCTTTTTGTTGTTGTTGTTTACTTATTTATTTTGAGACCGAGACCATGCGAACGGGGGAGAGGCAGAGAGAGAGGGAAAGAAAATCCCAAGAAGGCTCTACACTGTCAGCCCAGAGCCTGACATGGGGCTCGAACTTACGAAACCATGAGATCGTGACCTGAGCCAAAAGCAAGAGTGGATGGTTAATCAACTGAGCCACCCAGAGGCCCATAGAAATGCCTCACCTGTATAATCTGAAATGATAAATTATTTTAAAAAGAGAAAGTGACAACACTCGAGAAAAGGATAAAATGTGGATGCTGCTTTGTTCAAAGAAAGTAGGCAGCCAGATTGCCCCGTCAGAGCCTCAGGAGCGCCAGGCCCGGAGCAGGGGGCTGGGCAGGAGACCCAGGGCATCACTGGTCACCTTGCACAAGGTGGTACTTACGGCTCGTCTGACAGAGCTGGGGCTCCCAAGGCAAAGGAGGGGATTCGTGGCAGATGTCACCTATCTTGGGTACAAGGGCACAGAGCAAGGCTGACTGTCGCCCAGCTAATCGGGAGCAGCGACCACATGGATAAAGGAAACTGACCAGACGTAGACTTGACAGTGAGCACGACTCCTTTCCACTTACTCAAAACAGTACTGTACCTTCACTAGTCATTTACAGGCTCCCAAGAAACTTGGAGGAATATCTTAAAAGTCTCTAATCCGGGACTTCAGCTGTCTTTTCTTAACCTCTGAGCCCATTAAACTTTCTGGGGGTGCCCTCTGTCTCAGTTCAGCTCTTCGGGGGCCTCCGCGGAAGCCATCTACCCCCACCACCCACAGAGCCCAGACTCCCCCAAGCTCTGGGAACCACCTTGTGGAGGCTGAGGGTCAGCTCTCCAAGCCTTCATGAAATGTCATGTTTGGGGTGTCACGGATGACGGATTGATGTTAAACTAGTTGTGCTGGGGCAGGGAGATTACATATTGTCTGTTTTCTCTGTTGCCTCCAAAACAACAAATGTGATGGTAAGGAAATGTAGCCTCTTCCTCCCGAGTTCTCCTGTGCCCTCCGAGGGGGTTCAATGAATGTGTTTGGCACTAGCCCCATTTCAAAACCAGCAAGTCTTGGGCCCTGTCCCCAAAAGAATTCACAGTCCTACTCAGAAGAAGGGGGGACGGAAGATGGGAGACACTGAGCCACAGCACACAAGACCTATCATTCCAGCAAGTAGTGACAAAAGCTGTGAGGGAGATGATGATTCCACTGGAGGAATTCATGAGTGGGGATTACAGCCAGGGGATTTGGCTGGTAAAAATTTTCTTTTTTTTTTTTAAATTTTTTTTTTAATGTTTTATTTATTTCTAGGGGAGAGAGAGAGAGACAGCGTGAGCAGGGGAGGGTCAGAAAGAGAGGGAGACACAGAATCAGAAACAGGCTCCAGGCTCTGAGCTGGCAGTCAGCACAGAGCCCATCGCGGGGCTCGAACCCACAAACCGCGAGATCATGACCTAAGCGAAAGTCGGACGCTTAACCGACTAAGCCACCCAGGCGCCCCAGCTGGTAAAAATTTTCAAGCTGGGGAGGTGGAGGGAAGTGGAAAAGAAGAATGAAGGAATAGGAGGAGGGAGAAGTCCTCCTACTGGACAGACGGAACTATCTCCCATACACTTTCTTCTTTTTTTTTTTTAATTTATTTATTTTTGAGAGAGAGAGAGGCAGCGTGATCAGGGGAGGGTCAGAAAGAGAGGGAGACACAGAATCTGAAACAGCCTCCAGGCTCTGAGCTGGCAGTCAGCACAGAGCCCTACGCAGGGCTCAAACCCACGAACTGTGAGATCATGACCTGAGCTGAAGTCGGATGCCTAACCGACTGAGCCACCCAGGTGCCCCCCGTATACTTTCAAAGGGTATAATCGCAACTCTTTAGGATTCCTATAGTAGCTTTTGAAAAATTAATTTCAACACACGTTGAAAGAGATGGGAAACCAGAGATGCCAAAGTCATGTGATATTAAGTCAATTCGATATCGTCACTCCAGCCTGATAAAGAGACATCCTTATCTCACCACAGAAACTCAATGGGAGTTGGGTTCATTCCTCAAAATGGAAGATCTTTAATGTTTCTTCGGACAATATACAAGAGTCATACAATGTTTTTTCAAGCAATACAGAAAATCGTAAACTAGGAGAAAAGAGCCTCAGCAATTGATTCCCCAGGGCTATCTGTCAACAGCACACCTTTTTGGATTTGGGTTCCACACGTTTTTGACCCAATGCAAGAGAAAGGGATTCTGGGTGACAAGAAAGGTACTTGAGTGGAAGAAGTCAGAGAGTTCGTAGCATCAGAGGGAAAGCAAACCTAGGGAAATGGTCACGAACCAAGGGGAACTAGGCAACCAGGGACCCGGCCAAGGTCAGGATCCTGGGCTGTCTGGTTAGGACACCACCTCTGCTGCCAGTGGACATGTCCTGGCTGCTATCACTGACCCCGAGGCACTGTGTGTCAGCAGCTGCAGACCAAGTTCTACAGCGTCCTGTTTCTGGCCATCAGTCACTCTGGATTGTGAAGTCCAGCTGAGCAAGCTAAGGACACATTCACTGTCACTCTGCAGAGCGAGTTCATCTGTCTGGGAGCACAGCCGGGCCACCACCCACACCCACACATGGTTGGATCCCTCAGGAAAGGCAGGCAGATGACACAGGGCAAATCAATGGCAAATGCTTATTACACACCTGTATACAGCTTTTCTGGCTCTATGTTGGCGGGAATTTCTTACACGTACGAATTAGTAAGTAGATGTTTATTCTGGTTGGGCTCGTTTCATGTCAATACGACAAGTCAACGTAAGACCCCAAAATAATACAAGAAATCAAAATGATGTCAATTCAATAACAACCCCTAAATGCCTGCACAGCATTACTCGTACAGATATTGTCCATATTTACTAGATCGATTTTCAACCGATGGACGTTTATTTTCTGTTCTTTACTACGATGAACAGCACAGCCGAGAACATCCCCGAACACTCCGCACGGGTCTTAAAGTAGTCCTTCAAGGATAAGTTAACAGAAGTGAAACCGCTGAGTCCACTGTTGTCAAAAAGTTGACCTGAAAAAAGCCCAGACGCGGGTCTGCCCCTCCCTGACACCCACCGCGCAGGTTGCGAAGAGCCACCGCCGCACCAAGTCGGGGGTGGGGCCCCCGCGGAGAAGGACGCGGAAGCGCCGCGCGCTCGGAATCGCGGCCCCGCGCGCGCGCGCGCCGGCGCTTTGAACCGCCGTCCCGCCAAATATGAGTCCGCCTTCCCCCCCGCTGGGCCACCGCGGCCCTGGCACACTGTGTCTCGCGGAAATAAATAAATAAGCGAGTCCGGAGCCCGGGCGGCGTGCGCCAAGTCTCCTGCTCCGGGCAGGGGCCGAAGCCGACCTGCTCCGCCCCCACCCCCTACCCCGGCCCGTCGTCCCCCAGGCTTCCCGGGGCGCGCGTCAGGACCCCGGAGGAGAGCAGGAAGAGCGGCGGCAACGGATGACACCGCGGGACTCGCAACGTCGGGGGCCGCGGAAGCCCCTGTTGCTCCGCTTCCGCCCGCCCGAGCGGCCTCGGGCCCAGAGCCCAGGGCCCAGGGCCCAGTGCCGGGAGACCCCGGCGTCCGCCGCCGCCCTCGGCCGGCGGCGCCGCGCGCCACGTGGCTTGAGAAGCCTCCCGGCCGACTAAAGCAGCCAGCAGGTCCCATGGTGTAATGGTTAGCACTCTGGACTTTGAATCCAGCGATCCGAGTTCAAATCTCGGTGGGACCTCAGCAAACCTTTTGGTTTCACAATTTCTGTTTTGAGGGCTGGCGGCGGCGCCGGCCGCTTTGGGCTGGATCGTTAGCCCCGTGACCTAGGGGATCGCGGTTTAGGGTCCCTCCCCCCTCTCTCGTTTCAGGGCCGGCCTGAGGGTCGCAGTGCGCATGCGTGGCAGTCTGGGCGGGCGGAAAAGTGGTGGTGGTGGTGGTGACCGAAATGTGACTTTATCCTGGAGGGGGCGGCGAAGGAACCCGAGGGACCCCGGGGAGCCAGCTTCGGGCGGCAGCCTGTGGGTCTAGGAGACACCACCCACCCCCTCCTGCCAAGCTGCTGGGAATCTTCCTTCCTATTGGCTAATGTGCAGAGTGCGCTCAATTCACTTTATAAACCTGGAATGAAAAGCTGGGCGGAGGCAAGGGGCCCAGGAAGCCGGAACCGGCTGGGGAGAAAGAAGGGTGTGTGTCTGGGGCCAGTCCGCCTGCGAGTCGGTCAGATAGTGAGGCGGCTCTGCTTGGTTGTCTATTACTCAAGGCAGCAGGCCGTGAAGTTGTCCATGTCTGTTCTTCGGGCCGTGCCAGCCGGTCAGAGTATCTCCGCCGGCGGTTTCTCACCACATGCATGGGGTGTTTCTCCCTTAGAGGGTAGGACTCCCAACCAACGGGCTTGAGCACGTCTAGTGGCGAATCTGTCCCCCGATCGGTGTTTTGGGCGCTGGCCCGCCGCGCGTGATTTGCAGGAAAGGGTGGTGTCTCCGGGATGGAGGGGAAGAGACGCGCCTGGAGTGTTGTCTTCTTGGCATTGTATCTGGGTTTTGAGAGCTGTGTGGCCCTATGGGAGCAGAGGCGACGGAGCCCATTGACGCATTTGTGATCTCCCTACAGGGTGGTTGGCACTGTGGCTGTACGTGCCCGCCCCTTGGGAGGGTGCCGTGGAGATAGAGGATCCTGCCCTCTCCCCGGAGCCCGGAGCACCTCTCCTCCCGCCCCCCCCCCACCCCCCCTAAACGTTTGTGTGGATTTGTGTGCATGAGCGATCCCAGTCTCAAAAATATCCAGGTACTAGAGGTGGGAGGGCTTGCTCTACCAGATATTAAAACTTATGATCAACTATAAACTGTAAGAATTAAGATAGGTGCAAGATAGACATACATGTCAGTGGAACAGAATAAAGGGCCCGGATACAGCCCCACACATACTTGGACACGTGATTCGAGACAAAGGTAGGACAGCAGAGCAGTAGGGAAAAGAATCTACTTTTCAATAAATTATTCCCGGAGAATTGGTTGTCCACATGGGAAAATAGGAAATCAAATTCCCTCTCAGCGTGCACTAAACACAGCAATACATTCCATGTGACTCATAGACCTTAATGGGAGAGGAAAAGCAATAAAGCTTTTGGAAGAGAGCACAGAATATCTTCAGAACCCCAGGGTAGGGAAAGTCCTCTTAAACAAGACACAAACACTTCTAAAAGCTTACTATATGTCACTATATTAATATGGATACTCTATGTTCTTCTTATCAAAAGACCCCGATAAGAAATCGAAAAGGTAAGCCACAGAATACGAAAAGATCTTTGCAATGCATAACTGGCAAAGAAATTGTATCTCGATTATTTAAAGAACTTGTCATAAGCAATAAGGATATAAAATTAAAAAATCAATCAGAATAAAGACAAACAACCTAACAGAAAAATAGCAAAACACTTGAACTGGCACATCACAAAAAAGAGCAAATAACTGTCAGTGGGTCTCCTGGCTGGCTGGGTCGGTAAAGCATGCAACTCTTGACCTTGGGGTTGTGAGTTGGAGCCCCAAGTTGGGTGTAGAGATTACTTTAAAGTCTTTAAAGAAAATAACAAATAGGGGCGCCTGGGTGGTTAAGCGTCCGGCTTCGGCTCAAGTCATGATCTCATGGTTCGTGAGTTTGAGCCCCATGTCAGGGTCCGTGCTGACAGCTCAGAGCCCGGAGCCTGTCTTCGGATTCTGTGTCTCCCTGTCTCTCTGACCCCCTCCTGCTCACACTGTCTCAGAAATTAATAAAACATTAAAAGAAATTTAAAAGAAAAATTTTAAAGCCCTCCCCTCTCTCTCAGATATAAATAAAACATTAAAAGAAAATTTTTTTAAAAAGTCAAAAAAAGGGGGTACCTCTGTGGCTCAGTGGGTTAAAGCATCTGACTCTTGATTTCGGCTCAGATTATGATCTCATGGTTCCTGAACTCAAACCCCGCGTTGGGATCCGGACTGACGGCATTGGGATTCTCTCTCCCCCATCTCTCTCTGCCCCTCCCCTGCTCACTTTCTCTCTCTCACACACAAAATAAATAAACAAACTTAAAAAAAAAAAAAAACGCCAAAAAAATACCTATCTAGAGACATGTTTCTGCCCTGGTCATGGATGAGGAGTCTGAGATCAAGAATTTGCCCACAGGGGCGCCTGAGTGGCTCAGTCAGTTAAGCGTCCAACTTCGGCTCAGGTCATGATCTCCCGGTGTGTGTGTTTGAGCCGTGAGCCAGCCTCTGGACTGACAGCTCAGAGCCTGGAGCCTGCTTTGGATTCTGTATCTCCTCTTCTCTCTGGCCCTCCCCTGTTCATGCTCTGTCTCTCTCTCTCTCTCTGTCTCTCAATAATAAGTAAATGTTAAAAATGTTTTAAAATAATAAAAATAAAAAAGAGTTTGTCTGCAGACTGGGAGATTGGGGAGTCACGATAGAGACCCTCCACACTGAGCCAGCCCAAGGGCATTCAGAGAATCAGGTTCAATTCTAGGCATTGCACAAAGATATTGATGAATTTCCCCCTGCCACTAACTGGCTGGGTGCATTTGGGTAAGCAATTCAAACGTTCTGAACTTGTAACTCTGTGAGGTGATGAATATGTTAATGAAGCTAGTTGTGGTAATCGTCTCACAATCCATATTATAACAAATCATTACGTTGTGCGCCTTAAATGTGTACAATCATGCATGTGAATTACATCTCAATGAATCTGGGAAAAAATATTTGGAGCCTCATTTGAAAAGGAAAAGGGACAGCAGTACCTTTTGCATAACAGTGTGGCAAGAACTAGTAAAATAGTAAGCAGAAGTCCTTTTCTCTACTTCTGAGCCAAGATAAACTCTATAATAGTAACTGCTAGAAAGGCAATCAGAATAGTGAGGACCCGGGGGTGGGGGGGGTCCTGGGTGGCTCAGTAGGTTGGGCGTCCAACCTTGGCTCTGGTCATGATCTCACGGCTTGTGAGTTCCAGACCCAAGTCAGGCTCTGTGCTGTCAGCACAGAGCCTGGAGCCTGCTTTGGATTGTGTCGTCTTCTCTCTCTGCCCCTCCCCCGCTAATGCTCTGTCTTTGTCCTTCTTTCAAAAATGAATAAACATTAAAAAAAAAAAAAGAATAGTGAGGGCTCCGGAAGCTCAGATTTTTGAGAACACAAACACAAGTTTGTATGGGGAGGAAAACAGAACTTGGAGGGTAGCAATAGATTCAGAGAATGAGAACCTGTGGGTGGAAGTTAGAGCGACAATAGGAAGAACTTTCTAACAATGGGAGCCACGGAACAGGCTTGAGAAATTCCGCGCTTCTCAATGCCTGAGAGTCTCCTGGGGGCCTTTGTTCAAAGGTCTTTGTCATCGTCACCTGAAGGTGTGGGAAGATTCCTAAAGATTGGTCCCAACCTACTAAATTGATTTCAACACTCACTATTGGCTCTTAACCTACAGTTAATAAAACACTAGCTCCCCAGCCCTGCCCGAGCCCCCTCTGTCCTTCCCTTCCTGGCTCCAGATTTTCTGAGAGCCTTTCCACGTTTCCTTCTCTTTCTATCCCTACTAGCTCAGGAGAGAACCTCTCTCTCCTCCAACGGTCTGCAGAGCTCCTTGCAAGGATTTTATCCCCATGAAGGACCCCCAGAGGCAGCATTTGTCAGAAGGTAGTGTCTATAATAGGTTGTCCTTGACCAGAGTGACCGGGACCTCCAGGGAAGCCAGCTGTGTGCCTAGCCTGGCCTCTCCCTTGTGCTAGATTCCCAGGGCTATCGGTTCATTATCATCCTTGGCTGTTAGCACAGGGGATGATGTGTCTACAACACTTCCCACAATGTCTGGCAGATGGAAAGTCTATGGATGACAGGACACACACAGGCTGGTCATTTAACACCCATTGTTCTCCTCCCACGTTCAAGGTGCTGGACATACAAAAAGCAAAGACTTGACTTCTGCCCTCAGGGTGCTTGAAATCTGAGCTAATAAATTGAGGGTGAGGGTGTGAAATGAAAAGTAATCGGCTGGGGACAAGAAGGTCAGTGAAACCCAACCAGGGAACGGGAAAGCCAGAGGGGCCAAGGGGAATTTGAGAAACTACTTCCGGGTCGCCCCCCAGGCCCCAGCTGCTAACCTCAGAGATGGTGGAGGAGGACAGAGAGTGGAATGTTTAGGGTGTTCTTTTGAACCCTCCCTTCAACTCTGCTCCTGGGTAAACACCCTGCCTCCTCTTCCGAGCTGGGGCCTCTGTCTCCCTACACGAGACCAGACACGGAATAGGCAGGGCAAAATGAGAATGTGGGACTCCTTCTCAAAAGTGACTACGAATTTCAAGCAGAGTGTGAAACCAAGCACAGGGCCCATCTAAGTAGGAGACCTGTGTGACAGCACAGGTCAAAACATACCCACAAAACTGGTCTTGTACCCAGGCTTTAAGCTCGGGAAAGGGAATTGGGGTAGAGGAGGGCCAGGGGGCTCTGACTAACTTTCCTAGAGACCCCGAGGTCATGGTTTGGTAATCAGCCTCTGTCGAAAGCACCAAGATGCCAAGCAGACCAGAGCCCATTCCCCTTGACCCTCAACTCCTCCGGGTTGCAAGGGTGAAATCCAGAAAGCAGGGATGGGGGGGAGGGGCTGAGCTGCCGGATTCCCTTGGAAAGGTTTCTAG